ACTAACCATGATTTCTGAGAAATAAGAATGAGCTGTGGGAAATTAAGTTTCAGGAGAAGGGTCTAAACTGAAGCTTAAGGAAATGCTTGTAGTTTAATGCTTTTTAGGAACAGGCTCAAATGCTGGAAACAGCAGCATACAGACCCACTTTACTAGCCTGTAGCAAGTCAAGTTGAGGGAATTCTCTTCAGGGTCCAGTTCCAGTTCTAGGAGAAGCAGTTGTACATCCAGAGTTGCCTTTACACACTGGATAAAAAGGAGTGGATCTTTTCAACCACAGTGGTGTATATATAAGCATCCCTATAACCTTTAAATTCACATGACATGGGAAAATAATATCTACATGGTTTTTCATTGCTTTCCCAATAGCCTCCCAACCTGTCTGCATCTTCATTCAGGCAGATAGGTTAACAAATTTCCATTTTGTCTGAATGATTCAAAATATATGTCAAGTGAATAGTAAAGAATAAAATATAACATAATTCTAGAAGGATAGAACAGCAGAGCTATAAAGTTCATCTACTCAAACCCTTTCATTTTACAGATAGTTATACTGAAGTACAGAGAGGTAAAGTACCTTCTCAAAGTCACAGAGCAAGTCAGGGGCACAAGTTGTCTAACTCCTAGTCACTGTCTAGCTGGTATTACTGAGATCACCAGCCCTTTAGGTGTCCAGATTTATGTTTAGAATGAGATTTTCAGGCCACTGGACAGTGGGCCAGGGATCCAGCCTCAACCAGCTAATCCAGCTAAAACAAGCATCCCCTGGTTGACTTCCAAATATCCCAACCTCTTCTCCTCATCCCTTTCAGTATGAGTCGAGGTCCTAGTTTGGGACCCAGTTTGTTGGAAAGGAGACAGAAGAGTTACTTGAAAGATGTCTGGCCAATGACCCTGTGGCCCAAAGCTCCATTGCAGGCTCTAACCCAACCCGATCAAGCTTATCTGGACAGTAGGCAAAAGCCTTCAGCCAAAGACTAGATCCTGGCAGACTTGGTCAAAAAATACCTGGCTCCTAAATTAAGCAATTTAGTGGTCAGCCCAGTGAGACATTGAGCCAAGCAATGAGAGAAAGATAGCCTAACTTGCCTTTGACCCCACCTATCCTTGGGACTCTGTCCAAATGTATAGTGTACCATTTTCCCCATGCCTAGAAAATTCTGTCTCCATTAGAGTGATCCATGATTCTGAACTATCTTGAGCCCAGTAGTAAATTCTCCTGACCATTGTCCCTTTCCCTGGGTGGTAGAGCCCTAGCCCCAATCCTCCAACCTAGAAGCCTACAAGGGACATGCTTATAAACTGCCCAATAAAGATACCTCCCATCATATCTTATGGCTCAGTGGTAGGCTTGGCAGTCGAGGTGGAAAGTGCAGACTAATGGGTTTACTCTGAAGCACATTTAAAAAGACCTAAACTTGGAGCCAATGTTAATAACTCTGCCTTGGTTTACCTTGTCCCCTGGTTCCCCAACCCTAAGCCTGCCCTAGCTCCAATCCACTTGGAATTCCAATAATGACCTGGGGCCCACAACGAGTGTTACCTTGTTCCTCTTTATCCTCTTCCCTCTAAAAGTCTCTCCTCTCAACCCAGGAAGCCATGCTATACTTTCCACCAAATTGCCTGGCTGCCCTATCTTGTCTGTAGCTTGGTCTGGGCAGGAGGACTCCCAAATTTCCCACAAGCTCTTCAAAAAGTATAGACTCATTTCTCTCCTGATCTTTTCCTTTTCTCCTAAATCAGACCTTGGTCACATGCCTCCATCACAGAAACCTATTGCCTGCCATTCTTCCCAGGCATATGATCCAGGGTAACTTGGCTTCCCTTTATAATTTTTTAACATTTATTTATTTTTGAGACAGAGAAAGACAGAGCATGAGCTGGGGAGGGGCAGAGAGAGAGGGAGACACAGAATCTGAAACAGGCTCCAGGCTCTGAGCTGTCAGCACAGAGCCCGATGTGGGGCTCGAACCCACGGACCACAAGATCATGGCCTGAGCTGAAGTTGGATGCTTAACTGACTGAGCCACCCAGGTGCCCCACTTGACTTCCCTTTAAAAACAGGTGATGATAAGGCATAAAATAAACTGGTAGTGTTACCACAGAACTGTACATATCACAGAGTCCCCAAAAAGTGTACATAGCATGCTCTAGAATGGCCTGAATTCCACTTTCCTTCCACTCTCCATGATTTTTTCCCATGCCCAGAGACCTCTCTGATGTGTAGTTAGCCCCTATACATCAAAACTACCTTTTTTGTGGCTCCCTCATAACAGTCCCAATTATCTTCACAACCTTAGACTCATAAAGCCAATCAGCAGCAGATTTAGGACTGTGAAGATATTAGGCCTAGCCAAGAAGAATCTGGGTTGTGTGGTGCCCCCAAAAATTCATAGATTTTTATAGATGAAAGGCATGTCAGACATTAATAGAAATGGATAGTGTACCAACCTTGTTGACTATAGGAGTAAATGTTTCATGTTCTCCAGAATGGCTATTTGGCAAATATTGACTGACAAACATTTTAGCAAGCTTCTACTGGCTTCTTCTATCCCTTGAGACACTAGTGCTGTGACACAGGTTGCTGGGACATTTTGAGCAAACTGCAGAAAGTGTGTGGAGGCAGAGACACATTTGGAATCTCAGGATCTAAATGGTTACTTGGGAAAGCTGAGAGGCCCAAGAAAGCTAGTGCTAAGGATATTTTCTAGGAGCTCAGGAATGTGGTGGGGTGTTCCTGACCTCTTTGAAATAAGAATTGAGGTGTTCCCAAGAGCATCCAGTATCAAAAATAACTTTCGTGAATTCAAGATACACCACAGCAAGGACCTAAGCCAAAGTATTCTGAGACCCTGGGGACACACCAAATTCCTTTCTGTCCCTTCTTGACCTGTACTCACCATAATTTAAACCAGTAAGCCTATCCCTTCAATGGACCTAGTCTGCATCAGAGTACACACCAGCCACACCTCTGCACCACCCCCCTTCCCAGCTGCACTGTGAGGTCTTGACCGGAAAGTCCCAGCCAGCCCTCCCCCTGAGTCCCCTATGATCACCTGCTTTGAAGTTTGTTCCCCAGCAGTAAACCTCTTCCTGGTAAAGTAGTGGTTTTTCCAAGTTTTATTACACACTCCAAAGGGCCCAGCTCTAGGCCTGCTCACACCACATGAATGCAAGGGTCTAACTTCAGCCCATTCCCCGCTACCTCTCATGAAGTTTCACCCAGACTTTGCCACTGACTCTGAAGGCCAACAGCTTGCCTTCAACCACAGGGCAATGCTCAGCAGGTGCCCTCCTAGGTAACCTAGGCAACAGCAAGAGGCCTTACCCTGGCTGCCTTCCCAGGAGCCCCTGAACTGAATCAAAGCAAGGAAAAGGTATTCCCAGGGGTGAGTGTGGCAGTGACTTTCCTCCCAGTTGTTCCACAGAGTCCAGGGACCCCCCCTACTCTCAGGCACCAATGTAGCCTGGTAGTCTCCACCCTGGACAGCTTGATACACACTGTAACTTTCAAGTGGGCACCACACACTGCAGTGCCAATGGATCACAAGAGGTACCAAGAGCTCGAAACCTGTTTTTCAAAGGCAGCCCAATGAAGCTGGGGGAAAAAAAGATGGGTCCTTTGTTCGGAGTGGTAGGAGAAGCTGTCCAAATGCCCAGGGAATCCGCAGGTGAACGCCCGAGAATTCACAGTTTCTGTGTTCAATAAATAACCCCGAGGCCCCCCCAGAGGGCAGCAGAAGTACATATTGTGGCAGCAAGAAGAGGGAACACTTCAGCCCCAGGAAAACACTATGAAAAACCACATATTCTGAGCTGTGAACTTTGGGCAAGTCTCCAGTGGAGCTGTCCCTAGAAGACACAAGAAGGAGTCAGCCTTGAGGTAGAGGACATCCAAAATCCTTCACTTCTTCTCTAGACTTCTCATCAGAACTGCTGAGAGGGCATGGTCGTTAGCTTTCTGAGAAAACGGGATGGCTGCTCTGACTTCAGGAGCCCACAGGCAGATTCAATGCGAGGAGAATGCAAATTTGTAGTTTGGTGGCCACCAGGCCTAGAAAGCTAAGGCTATGCTCCCTGGCCCTCCTTGTTTTAGGGAAGAAGACCATGTTCTCCCCATGCGAAAGCCAGATAAATGGAGGCCAGCATTCCCGCTAAGGCTGAAAGAGACATTCCGCGGAGAGTGGAGAGACTCTGAGTACTAGGGAAGGCAAGGCTCAGGTTGGGGGAGGTGTGGAGTGAGTCTCAGGGCCCAGCCTGCCAGCCGCCTTACAATTCTCTGGCAGGAGACGTCGGAGACCGTCTCTCTGCTTGCTTTGGGGTTCAGCTCAGAGGGCACGGAGATGTGCTTAATTCCTGAGAGGGACAGAAGACGGCCTGGCCTGGCTGAGCCATAATAACCACCTCAGGCAAAGAGACGCGCGTGCACCCCACTCGCATTCCCTCCCTCCCTTTTTGTCTCCAGCAGACACACACGCCTGCCTTGCGATTGACTCGGCTCAGTCACCGGTATTTCTAAAGTGTTTTTGACAGAAAACACCTACACTCCCCGTACAGGAACAGGGGCTGCTGCGAAGATCTGCAGTACGGTATTTCTCTTAAAGCCCTCCCTGTCTCCCAACTCTCTCCTCTCTCTGTGACTTCGCACCCCCTTCCAAAAAAATCTGCAAATATTTCCTCCCACTACACATGGTCAGAATATTAAAAAAAAAAAAAAGTGCGTCTGGATTTGTCCCAGGGCAAAAAAGTTCATTCCTTGCATGTGATCAATGAATATCCCAGGTCCCACCCAGGGGACGCCTTGTGCCTAGTCTCCAACAGCTAAGGGTGCCCAGAGCCCCGCAACACGCGCCTCAGCAGCGCGGTGGGCAAGGACAACGGGGAGGAGTCGAAGAGGAAAGCTGAAGGGGCGCCTCGGACTGAGAGGTCAGAAGTCCGCAGCGGTGGGAGCAGAGAACGCCCTTGCCCAAATGCTAGGAGGGGAGCGCGGGGCCACTCACCTGCTTGGAACTCTACTTGGCGATTTTTCTCTCTTTCCTCCTGCAGCAGCATGGAGTAGAGGATTCCAAAAGAGTTCTGGATGCCAAAGATGGAGCCGTTGCACCAGGTGGCAGCGAAGACCACCATCCAGCCGAAGCCACCTTCGGGGGGCTGGAAGCCGCGAGCGGTGCCGCGGGTCTCAACGGTGGGCGTGGATTTGGGTTCATGCACTGGCTCGGGCTCAAATTCCAACTCTGGGAGGGGTGCAGGGTCCGGTAGGAGTTGTGGCTCTGGCTGTGGCTCCGGTAGGGGCACTGGCACCGGCTCAGGCTCGCGCTCTGGTTCGGGGCTACCCACCCACTCCTGCCGTTCCTGGTCTGCCTCCCGCCAGGGCCCCTTGGCTTCCTTGCTCGCCAGGCTTTGCAGCGCCATCTCGGCAGGGGGACTGTGGCTGCTCCAGCGGGAGGAGCCGCTGTGTGGCTGGTACTTGTTTCTGCCGCCGCCGCCTCTGCTGCTGCTGCTGCTGCCGCTGCTGCTGCTCGGAACACTGCTGCAGTCGTCCCCCCCTCCTCCCGGCTCTGCGCCCCAGCTGGCCAGCCTGTCCCGCGACAGACGGTCCCTCGAGTCCTCTCCTCCTCCTCCCACGTCCAACCCCCCTTCAGCTCTCCCCATGTCATCTCTCTCCTCCCCCTCCTCTTCCCCCCCCCACCTCTTCCTCCCTCAACAGGCAGCCGCTAGAGCCTTGCTCTTCTCCCTAGCCCTTCCTGCTCCCCACACTCGCCTACCTACTTCAGCCGCTGCTCCCTACCTCAACTTCCTTTCCAAACTACTGAATCCTGTCTTCCTTGCCCAATAGAAGGAGAGTAAAAATGGTTTTTCCACAAACTGTCCTGTTTCCCGTGACTTCTCCCCACAGGCTCCAAAAACACATTGATCAACCCAGAATTTCCAGGGAAGACCCCACTGTCTTTTGCTCTCACTCCCTCCTCTCACTCAGCCTGGAACTGTAGTGGTCCCGAGCACTCCAGGACGAGAGCTGAACTTTGAGAGACCCCACCCTGTCCTCGGGAGTCCCTTTGTCTCCCACTTGCGCTTGAGAAAAGCGACCTGGAGGGGGAAAGCCCAGGCTTCGGTCAGAGGGTGGGCACAATCTTCTAGAGCCCGGGGTCTCAGCCTCCCATGGCCCTGCGAACCCCCCCCCCCCCGCCACCAACTCCCCACCAGGCTCTCCCAGTTCGCCCCCGCCCTTCCCGGCAAATCTCTGGCTGGGCGCGAAGGGGAGGAGACAGCTCGGCAGCGAGGCCTGCCCCTCCGTGCAGTCAATCAGGGTTTTGTTTGCGCCAACCTGGAGCCCTGAGGAGCCTTAGAGGGCCGGGTCTGGGTCGGGGACTGGGCCAGGAAGGGAAGGAGGTGCAGTGGCACAGGAGGGGGCCGGGCCCGGGCGGGGCAGGAGCCTAAGCTCGGTTCACGCTCCCCCCGGCTTTCGGTCCCGCTGTGGGGAACTATGAGTCCGGGCCGGGTCAAGCCGCCAGTTTGGACTAGGGCCGATCTTCCGGCCCTCAGGACTCTGTGGAGCAGCTGAGCGAGGGTGTCTTTCCAGCACCCACCGCTCAAGTCCGCCCACCTCAGGCTTAGATACGTGGGAATTCCACCGAATGTCCCAGACTAAGGTCCCAGCCCTGCGAGGGTAAGCGAGATTTTGATCTCCAGAGAGCGCAAGGGTCCCAGGAGACGGGATGGGTGATCTGCCCTGTGGGCGGCCTGGCTCCCTGCTGTGTCCAGCTTCAGCCCTGACGACCCGCCCCGCGATCCCGGGAAGTTCTGCCTCCGCTGAGGGCCCATGTGTCTTATGCACTAATCATGAGGTCGTAGTGTGGTTACTAAGCTACTCTGCTCTCCACCAGCAGGCCGGCCAGCGCCAATCGGTTTCTACCCAGCATCTCATTAACCTTCTTGCTGGGTGAAAAGACTATATGCCCGGTGAAAATTTAGCTATGGGCTCTGCCAGATGCCCACGAACGTAGAGTTATTAAGCACGTAAAAGCAGACCGAACTGGGCGGAACATAGAGGGGTTTCAGGAACTTGCCTACCATGAAAGTAATCTGTCCAAATTCACAAATGGCCAGAGCCATACTGGTGAGCAGAGCAGGCATTGCTTGAGCGAATAGAGCGCCTTCACTGCCACCTTTTGAATCAAGCACAAAACCTGAGGTTCAACGAGGTCACGGCATTTTTTAGCCTACGGTCATGAGACAAGTCAAGTACAAGCTGGAATTCAGGGCAGGTCTCCATACATGAAAGCCTCACTTCCTAAGCTTCACCACAGGAGTCTAGGGCTTGGTTTGGGAGAGGGGCAGAGGAGGGAAGGCAGGATTTGGCTGAGCAATCACAGTAGGTTTCTGGAAGAGGTTGTGGCCTAGGTGGGCATTGAATGTTGAGAAGGAGTTTAACAGTCTGAGCGTAGGGGTGGGGTGTCCCTGCCTAAAAGAGAGAAAGCACAAAGTCATAGAAGGCCTCTATTCATAGAAGAGGTAAATAAGTGAAAGTTAATCAGGGCAAAAAGTTAATATGTATGTAACCTTTTCCAGGAAACATTTGCATTTTAATAAAAATTCACAATGTATTAGCCATGAGTGACAAATCATGCAAATAAGGGGCACCAGAGCTAAAGATCTGTTTTTTGTCAGGAATCTCACCATACACATGACCAACTATTGCCCCAGGGGACACTAGCCTTGGTGTCCATTTCCAGGAACCTGAATAAAACCCTGAAAAAAGGTTATTTTCAACCTCACAACTAGGAATAGACCTGAAGTCTTGCAGCCCATCTCATACCCTACTGTCTAAATTCGATTTCCACATTCTTTAAATGGGTTTTTAGATACCTGAACTGGGGAGTGAGGATGGGTAATACCACTCATTGAGAATCTCCTGTGAACCTAGCATTGTGCTAGCCCTCTACATATGTGGTCTCATATAATCATAACAACCCTATAAGACTGGGATGGAGTCTCCTGTGTTATAACTGAGGACACAGAGGCTCTAAGAGGTTAAGTCAGTTGTTTAAGTCTAAAAAACCAGTAAGAGGTAGCACAGGGATCTTTGCTCATTTGTGTGAGCTCCAAGGTATTTACCCTGCTTAGAAGACAGGATCACATAAACACCATCCCACCCTTCTAGCAACACATGCAATACTGGCCACTTCTCCCCTCTTAAATCAAGAGTTGGCCACCCAGCCACCCCTCAAATCTATATTTTAGAAAGGAAACTGTGACGACTGTGTAGAAAGATGCTGTGGCTTGAAAAGATAAGAGGTAAGGAAACCAAGCAGGTTAAAAAATATTGATAATATGAAATGGGGCACTGACTATGAGGATGAACACAAAGAGATGGCTCTGTGAACCACTATTATAATAGAGTTGACAGATTTGGGCACTGAGGGAAAAAGAAGCAAAAATGATGCTGACATTTTTTGCTTGAGTGAAGAAAAGAGTGGTTTAACAGTGACTTTTTAAAGTATTTTTAATTTAAATCCAAATTAGTTAACATAGCGTAATAATGATTTCAGGAGTAGCATCTATCAATTCATCACTTACATATAACACCCAGTGCTCATCCCAATAACTGCCCTCCTTGGTACCTATCACCCATTTAACCCACTCCCCCACCCACCCACCCCTCCAGTAACTCTGAGTTTGTTCTATTTAAGAATCTCTTATGGCTTGGCTCCCTCTCTGTTTTTTATCATATTTTTGCTTCCCTTCCCCTATGTTCACTTGTTGTGTTTCTTAAATTCCACATATGAGTGAAACCATATGATATTTGTCTTTCTCCTGCTGACTTATCTTGTTTAGCATACTATATTCTAGTTCCATCCACATTGTTGCAAATGGCAAGATTTCATTCTTTTTGATTGCCAAGTAATATTCATTCCATTGTCCATGCGGGTCTGTGTGTGTGTGTGTACATACATATGTATATTATATCTTCGTTATCCATTCATCAGTCAATGGACATTTGGGCTCTTTCCATAATTTGGCTATTGTTGATAGTGCTGCTAAAAACATTGGAGTGCATGTGCCCTTTGAATCAGCATTTTTGTATCCTTTGGATCAATATCTAGTAGTGCAATTGCTGGGTCACAGGGTAGCTCTATTTTTAATTTTTTGAGGAATCTCCATACTATTTTCCAGAGTGGCTGCACCAGTTTGCATTCCTACCAACAGTGCAAAAGGGTTCCCCTTTCTCTGCATCCTCACCAACATCTGTTGTTTCCTGGAGTTGTTAATGTTAGCCATTCTGACAGGTGTGAGGTAGTATCTCATTGTAGTTTGATTTGTATTTCCCTGATGATGAGAGATGTTGAGCATATTTAAATGTCTGTTAGCCATCTGGGTGTCTTCTTTGAAAAAGTATCTACTGGGTGCCTGGGTGGCTCAGACGGTTAAGTCTCCGACTGTGGCTCACGTCATGATCTCGCGGTTCATGGGTTTGAGCCCGACGTCGGGCTCTGTGCTGACAGCTAGCTCAGAGCCTGGAACGGATTTCAGATTCTGTATCTCCCTCTCTCTGACCCTCCCTTGTTTACTTTCTCTCTCTCTCAGAAATAAATTTTAAAAAGCATTTAAAAAATGAAAAAGTATCTATTAATGTCTTCTGTCCATTTCTTCACTGGATTATTTATTTTTGGGGTGTTGAGTTTTCTAAGTTCTTTATAGATTTTGGATACTAACTCTTTATGAGATATGTCATTTGCGAATATCTTCTCCCATTTCATCAGTTGCCTTTTAGTTTTGCTGATTGTTTCCTTCATTGTGCATAAATTTTTATTCTTGGTGAGGCCCTAATAGTTCATTTTTGCTTTTGTATCCCTTCCCTCTGGAGACATGTCAAGTAAGAAGTTGATGCAGCCGAGGTCAAAGAGGTTGTTGCCTATTTTATCCTCCAGGATGTTGTTGGTTTCCTGTCTTACATTTAGGTCTTTCATCTGTTTTGAGTTTCTTTTTGTGTATGGTGAAGAAAGTGGTCTAGTTTCATTCTTCTGCATATCGTTGTCCAGTTTTCCCAGCACCATTTGCTTAAAAGACTGTCTTTTTTCCATTGGATTTTCTTTCCTGCTCTGTCAAAGATTAGTTGGCCTTACATTTGTGGGTCCATTTCTGCGTTCTCTACTCTGTTCTATTAATCTATGTCTCTGTTAATGTGCCAGTAGCATTCTGCCTTGATGATTAGAGCTTTGTAATATAGCTTGAAGTTGGGAATTGTGTTACTTCCCAGCTTTGCTTTTCTTTTTTAACATTGCTTTGTCTATTCAGGGTCTTTTCTGGTTCCATACAAATTTTAGAATTGTTTTTTCTGGCTCTGTGAAGAATGCTGGTGTTATTTTGATAGGGATTGCATTGAATATTTAGATGGCTTTGGGTAGTATCGACATTTTAACAATATTTGTTCTTCCAATCCATGAGCATGGAATGTTTTTCAATTCCTTTGTGTCTTTTTCAAATTCTTTTATAAGCTTTCTATAGTTTTCAGTCTATGGATATTTTACCTCCTTGGTTAGTTTTATTCCTAAGTATTTTATTGGTTTGGGTGCAATTGTAAATGAGATATATTCCGTGATTACTTTTTCTGCTGCTTCATTATTGGTTTATAGAAATTCAGGGCGCCTGGG